TTTACATCTCCTTCGTTCTTAGTTCTCTTTCTCTGTTAGTTCTCCCCTTTTTTATTCATATCTTCGTTTCTTACCCTCTCGCTCCTCCCATTTCATTCGTGTCTCCTTTGTTATTACTCTCTCCCCTTTCCCCTTCCTTACGTATTTTCCTTTTCTTATATCCTTCTTTTGTATTATTATATTAGCCTCATTCACCTTTCTCCATCTATCCATTTTCCTCCCTTTATTCGGAATCTGAGACCCCAAATTACCCGTTTTGCCTCGATTCCCTTCCGTTTTGCCTCGATTCCCTTCCCCTCCGCTGCTCCCTTGCAGGGTTTAGGTCTCATGGATTTCAAGGGAGTCAGCGAGCTCGTGTCCATCTCATGAACACCCGATATCCTCACCTATGATTCATAAGGCTAAACTCTGCAGGAAGACCTCGAGACGGATTTAATATCCTCATGAATCCGCGTCTTGCACGAACGCGCTCTCATTGCAGGAGTTCGTTTATTTTCCTTACCATGTTTTGGGTAAAAAGTTATTGATTCCAGATTCCTTTATATTTTACATCTGATCTTGGGACTTCGTTAAATTTTGCAGCTTGGGATTTTGAATAAAGTATTTAATAAGCAATCACTTCTCACTTCTAGACTAATTTTACATTATTATATAATATATATATATAATATATATATATATATATATATATTATATATAATAGAGAGAAGAGAGAGAGAGAGAGAGAGAGAGAGAGAGAGAGAGAGAGAGAGAGGAGAGGAGAGAGAGAGAGTAGAGTCTTGATAACAATAATAATAAAAACTTGCAGCATACATTATTTTCTCTTTGTAATATCTTTTCTTAATTTCTTCTTGCAGACAAGGTCACATTCAAAGAACCTCCCACAATTCAAAAGACTTTGGTTCCCCAAAATCAAAAAAAATAATTGTTTCCCTCCGTTGGACCCTCCCCTCCCTCCCTCCCCATGCACCAACCCCCAAAAGTATGGACATAAAGTACGAACATAAATTAAAATGATCATTTATTTATGGAAAATCTTTGTTTTACAGTTTTATATCTCCGCTCAGGAAGCACATAACATTTTGAAAAAAGGAAAGATCACATTCCATAATATTCTCTCAATTTCCTCAGGTACGACTTCCTTTTTCTTCTGTTTAATAACAATCTCAAACGTACAATCTTGCATATGGATGAAGAAGAAAAAAAGAAACAAACCATCTTGTAGTCACTTCTCAACCACGTCATTCGACTTCATTTCTTTCTTAGACTTAGAGCTTTCATCATCACTTTATCACATCAATCCATATATATATACTTTCATTTCTTTGTTACTTTTTTTTTAACTCTTCATTTTATTTATCTTAACAAATACTCTGCTTTTTTAAAAAAATAAACAAGTGGGCTAAATCATGGGAACTTTGTACTCGCTGCCAAGAATTCTGAAACCGATCTCAAGAAGCCGCTCAGCCAATCAGAACTCGTGGGCTTTCGCGGTCTTAGGAGCGTCTCAAAGTCAGAATTCTAGCCTTAAAGTGTCTCGCAGCCATCAACAGGATATGTTAAAAAATAAAAATAAATAAGCACAAATAATAAAAACATCAATTACAGCAATGAAGAATATCTCAATCGTAGTTTTATGCGCTAACCATAAATAACATGAATGAAAAATCGATGAATGAAAAAGGCAATCGCGCATATGCCCCGCCCATTTCACGCTTAGCAAGTCGCTGATTGGTGGAATCCACGCTTCAACTAACCAATAAGACGTGAGCAGGAAAGTTCACAAAGTACAATAAAACAAAACCAAACACAATGTCACAGGAATAAAGATGATCACAAGCTTAAAAATAATAATAATAATAATCTTAAAGTAATTACAATTGCAAAAAAAGGAATAACTAGCAAACTGATAATGATAAATAGTGATAATGTTGACAATAATAATAATAATGATAATAATAATAATAATAACAATAATAATAATGATGATAATAATACAAGAAATATGCTGATCCGTACTTAATGCTCCATGATATTATTTCTCTTAAAGATTACACAAATGCCAAGAAAAATATACCCATTTAGTATCACTGTATATGGATCAAACTTACACGTAAAGATTAACCAAAGTACAGAGGTCTAACGTGATTTCAAGGGCGCCAAAAGAGCACATCATTATTGGCTAGGACATAAAACTATAACATTTTATATCCTAAGCACAAGTCACAGCCAAGAAACGAACGCCCAACCATGACAAAAACAAAACAAAAACACAAATGAGAAAATACTATGTATATATATATAAATCTTGTTTTATAATATATATATCCATCTATATATATATTCCTTTTTTAATATCCTGTTAGCTTGGCATATATCTTTCCTCTTCACGAAAAATATATATATAAAGGTGGTTCAAATCCACGGTAAAACCAGCACTTCGGAAACGACGACGGCTTCGGGTCTGCCGAGCCGACGGCCGCCGCCCCTCGAAGGTGCCGAGTTCATTCAGAATTTGGCCCATGACTAGCTTCTAGATATGTCCGCTAAGAGATCCAACAATACAAAGTGAGCACGCAACTCTCATCGTCCTTATCTATGGAAAAATAAATATTGACAAAATGAAATACACAATTCCGCCTCTTCCTTTCAGGAAATGAGAGAGATTCTCTCTCTTCTTACTTGAACGAGTAACTAAGAAAAAACTATTTTGATAGTTTCAGCTTTACTTAAAGATATCTTTTCAGAGACAAAAGGATATTAATATTAAAAATAGTGACTCGTGAAATGTTAACAAATGACAGAATGCGAAGTTGAGGGAACAAAAGAGTAAATTGGTAAAACCAGAAAAACTCGGCGAAAGACATTTGTAGAGTGGAAATAACGAAAGCAAAATCGGTCTTCATGGGCGGACTGGTATCTGGAAACTAGCGGTGTCTGGCAACTTTTACACACACACATCTCGTGTACGTTAAATTTGCTAAATGAAAACAAGTAAATAAACAAATCCTATTATAAACCTCCTTCTGACACTTCGTACATACAATATCCGTAAAAATAAAGACACAAAAGACAAGAAATAAGATGAGAAGAAATAAATCACTTTCATCATCATTCATAAACAATAAAAAGAGATCGACTTTGTAAATCCTTAAGACTATTATAATAAACTTTGTCCGCCGCCGAAGGCTGTCACAAGAATACACATGGGCCCGGGGAGGGGGGGGGCAAGAGTTCACGGTTGTCATCTCTGCAGGGAGGGTGGGCGGGGGAGGGGTCACGAGAGTGTTCAGCGCCCGCCCTCTCCTCTCTCTTCTCTCTTCACCAACACCAACACATCCACGAGCACTCAAATTTTCTCTCTCCCTTTCTTTCTTTCTCGCTTCTTCTCGACCTCCTGCAGAATCGCTTCTTGCACTCTCGAGGGATAGCCAAAGGTCGAGCAGGGGGGGAGGGGGGAGCCCTATCCGAAGTGCTGCTGCAGCTCCTGCGGCCGCGGGCGGTGGGGCCCTCCGCGCCCTCCCTCCCTCTCTCTTGACACCGCGACTCCGAGGGCCGTGGGCGCCGCCCAGACACCATGCGCTTCCTTAGACTTACACAGTTTAAGATCACAGACCGAGTGCGTGGGCGAGCCACAGTGCTTAAGAGTACGTCACCTCTACGTCGCGGTGGTGCTCGAGACCTCGGCCTCGACCCCGCCGCCCTCCGCGGATCTGCTGGCGCTCACCTCGCCCTTGGTCTTGGGGTCGTCCTCGAGCGTGGGCGAGGCGGGCGGCGTGGTGAAGGACGAGGGCTGCGTGGGGAGGGGGGCGTCGCCCCCGCCGCTCGCCACGCCGCTGTCGGGGCGGGCCTCGGGGGCGAGCAGGCGCGCCGCCTCGCCCGCACAGGTGTCGGCGGCGGCGGGCCGGACGCTGGTGTCGGGCGCCGCCGCCTCGGGGCCGCCTCTCGAGGGCGACGAACAGGTGGTCGCCGCCGCCTTGGCCCGCTCGTCGTCCTCCATCTCGCTGTCGCTGCTCGAGTCGCTGCTGCTGCTGCTGCTCGAGTCGCTGCTCGAGTCGCCCGAGGACGACGACGACGACGACGACCTGGCGGACGAGCAGCGCCGCAGCTTGAAGTTCTCCTCCCGCAGGCGGCGGTTCTCCGTCTCGAGGCTGCTGATCTCCGACTGGAAGATGGAGATCTTCTCCGCCGTCTCCTCGTCCACCAGCACCTCGCCGGGGCCCACGTCCTCCTCGTCCTCGTCCTCGTCCTCCTCGGGGCCCTGCTCCTGCTGCCGCTGGCGGTGCCGCGCTCGCACGGCGCGCAGCTGCCGCTCCAGCAGGTCCACCTTCTCCTCGAGGGCGAGGTACTCCTGCACCAGCTGCGCCTTCGTCATGGTGTCGAGGCGCTCGGCGTGCACGTCCTCGTAGGCCGTCCAGAACTCCCGCGTGAGGAACTCCTCCTCGTCCTCGGGCGAGGAGTAGAACTCGTCGTAGGCCTGGTCCTCGGAGTCGACGCTCAAGGAGGAGTCGCGGTGGCGGCGCGGGCGGGCCGCCACGATGTCCGTGTCCTGCAGCTGGTCGTGCTCCGCCATCAGGAACTGCGTGGTGTTGAGGGGCGCCACGGGCTTGGTCCGCAGGCCGTTGGCGCTGGCCCGCTGCCGCGGCTTCTTCTTCCTCCTGCGGCGCGCCTTCTTGCTCTTCTTGCTGGGCGGGGAGTCGCTCTCGCTCTCGGCCGTGCCCGAGGGGCGCCGCAGGCCCCGGTGCGGCCCCCCGCACATGCTGGGCAGCGCCACGTTGTCAACACTAGTCAATGTGACCGAGTCTAACATGTTTACTCTGGGCGATGGTAACAACACTTCTGCGCTAGCCATCTAGGTCAAACAACACTCGTCGCTATGTGCAAAGGTAGTAGGGTGATAATTGCTCACTCAAAGTTCGTCGCTGCCAACCGCGTGGATGAAGATTTCTAGTACGTCTGAACACGGTCATAGCAGCCGAATGACTGTTTTCCAAGATGGTTTCGCTCCCGCAACCACCAGCGGGCGCGATCCGTACTCCTCCGCCCCCAAAACTAGTGCCGACACAAACCACCTTTCTAATTGAATTGTCGCGTATACAATGTTTCTAAATTGTATTTATTCATATATATCATTATTAATCTCCACAGATGAAGTTATAATTTGACTTTAAATCCCCCTATTTACGAAAAGTCACAAAACTGCGGAGGAATACCATGACGTCACGCACCTTCCACCCTCAGTGCTGTATCGAGTGAAGGAGAAGCCCGACGCCATTTTGGTGCTGTGGCAAAATGAGTGCAATTTTAAGGCGATAAACGCGTCTGAGTGTTGAATAAAATGAGTACAGGCCTTCAACTACATGTGGAGTGCAACGGGAAGTACCACAGCAGCTGTCTTCACAAGAGGGAAGTGCCATTCCCGCCGAGAAGCAGCGATCAGCTGTTGAGAGAGAGACGCATCGACGTGGTTTTTACTCCCGACTCCACGGGCTGGTCGTCAAGTTGTTTCATTTACCCCATTCCTCATCTTAACGTATTAAACACATACATAAACCCATATGTGCACAACCCGCATTTAGTCGTAGGTGGAATTTTCGGTTTATTATTTATGTTCGTGTGTTATATGTGGCTGTGGTTCCTTTGTCCGCGAAAATTAAAACCGACCAAGACGGCGCTTGCGCATTCCCCACGCACAGGGACGGAGGTTCGCGGAGGCCAAATTTCGCGGCCGAGAGATGTGTCAAGACGGGATTTGCAGGTGATGTCAGCTCTTACAGATGTAATAACATTTGGCATTTGATTAATTTACAAATGTACGGAAATCGAAAGGCGAAAAAAGAAGTCGAGAGATAAATGTATACATATTGAACCTACTTGTAGACGATGTAGACCTATGTCCTCCCCCTTCATATACCTTGGCTGAAGTGTTCTAGTGTGTTCGATTTTGTCGATTTCATCAATAAAGCAGAAGGTGGCCTTCGAAATTAAGAAACAAAAATGGAGATGTCATATATTTGCAATATTAATCGCGTTAAAAGCAGCAGAGTCCATGGAACGTGTGGAAAACGACATGAAAACCTTGGCTGCGTCTTATGTTTTCGTCTCCGTTCGCAGGGAGGGAACGTCTTAAGTCACAAGTACTTCGACCACAAGTCTCCGTGTGTAACGCAAGTGTTTTCGCTGAATGGCAATAATAATAAGTGTTTTATTTAACCATTGGGAGAACCGGATTGATCCAGAATCGAGGACTCCCCCCCCCTCCCCGAGTGGTACCTCGCCTGGGGCCACTTTTATCTCTGGCTTTGCTCCCCTCCCTCCCCTCCCCCCGCTTCGTCGTCGCCTCGCACTCGCACTCACTCGCTCTCACTCACTCGTTCGTTTCCTTTGGGTTCCTCGGGTTTTCATAAGTAGGTTTTCCTTCTTTCGTCTCTGCTCTGGGGTAGGTTTCTCATGGGCGAGGGGGGGGGGGCACCATGGTGGTGGTTCTTTTTTGTGTGATTGCCGTCTTCGTTATTATCTGGCTTGCACTCATTCACCCCCCCCCCCTCCCTCCGTTCGTGGAGTTGCTTTTCGTGTACTCGCTCGGTCACGTACGCTCGCTTGCGCGGCTCACAGGCACGTACACGGACAGTCATGCTCACTCCCATTCTCATGTACACATACTCACAGTCATTTAAACACACAACACACACACACACACACACACACACACACACACACACACACACACACACACACACACACACACACACACACACACACACACACACACACACTATCTCTCACTCTCTCCTCCTCCTCCTCTCTCCTCCTCCTCCTCCCTCCTCTCCTCCTCCTCCTCCTCCTCCTCCTCCTCCTCCTCCTCCTCCTCTCCTCCTCCTCCTCCCCTCCTCCTCCTCTCTCCTCCTCCTCTCCTCTCCTCCTCCTCCTCCTCCTCCTCCTCCTCCTCCTCCTCCTCTCCCTCCTCCTCCCTCCTCCTCCCTCCTCCTCCTCCTCCTCCTCCTCCTCCTCCTCCTCCTCTCCCTCCCACCCCACACACACACACACACACACTCTCTCTCTCTCTCTCTCTCTCTCTCTCTCTCTTCTCTCTCTCTCATCTCTCTCTCTCTCTCTCTCTCTCTTCTCTCCTCTCTCCCTCCCTCCTCCTCCCTCCTCCCTCCTCCCTCCCTCCCTCCTCCTCCCTCCCTCCCTCCCCTCCTCCTCCCTCCCTCCCTCCTCCTCCTCCTCCTCCTCACTCTTCCCTCCTCCCCTTCCCCTCCTCCCCCCTCCTCTCCCTCCCTCCTCCCCTCCTCCCTCCCTCCCTCCTCCCCTCTCCCTCCTCCCTTCTCCCCTCCTCCTCCCTCCACCTCCTCCTCCCCCCCGATCTCCTTCCTCCTCTCCCTCCTCCCACCCTCTTCCTCTTCTCTTCCACCTCTCTCCTCTCCTCCTACTCCTCTCCTCTTCCTCTCCTCTCCTTCCCTTCCCCCTCCTCCTACTCCTCCTCCTTCTCTCCATTCTCCTCTCCTCCTCTCCTCCTCCTCCTCCTCCTCCTCCTCCTCTCCTCTCCTTTCTCCCATCAATTACCTCTCCCTTTCTTTCTCCCATCCCTCCCCCTCCTCACTCCCTTTATCCTTCCCTCCCTCACTCCCTCATTCTTTCTTCCTCCCTCTGACGGCAATGTCCCTCCCCCTCCCCTTTCCCCCCACCCTTCCCCTTCCATCCATTCATCTATTCCCCAACCCCCTCTCTCCCCCTCCTCTCCTCCTCCCTTCTCCCTCCCTCAGTCTCTCTCTCTCTCCTCCTCTCTCTCACTCCTCTCCTCCCTCCCTCTTCCTCCCTCCCTCCCTTCCCTCTCCCCCTCTCCCTCCCCTCCCCCCCCTCCCCCCTCCCCCTCCCCTCTCCCTCTCCCCTCTCCCCTCTCCATTCCGCTCCCCATACCTCTCTCTCTCGCTCAAAACACACAAATACAAACACCAACGCGCTCATATACACGCTACATGTTCCGTCCACAGGCACCAGCGACATATTTACCTTCCCTTTTCGTGACGGACTTTTTTCCTGCCTTCGTGACGCGCCGCAATAAGGGAATGGCCCATCGAAGTAGGGGAGCAAGGCCCTCCCCCGACCCCCGACCCCGACCCCCGACCCGTCCTTTTCCACCCTGGGGCTCTGCTTCCGAGGGCCGAAGGGTTGGCTTTTCGTCGGGCTTCGAGGGCTTGGTGGGTTTGGTGGGCGGGCCTCGTGTTCTTCGGGTTTCGTCGTTAGGCTCGTCCGGTTATTGAGTTGGGCGCTTTTATTTGTCTATTTTTTCCGAGAGGAGTTTTCGTGTTCTGGTTCTAATAGCGTGTTATTTTATCCGGTCGGGAAGGAGAGAGAACATGACAAATACAAAAAAGAAAAGAAAAAAAGGTTCCGGTGCAGTGACTATTCCGCTCCCCTTCTTCCTCCCCTCGCTCCTCTCCCTCCCCTCCGTCCCCCTCTCCTGACACGGGCCATCCCCCCTCCCCCCCTGCTCAGGGTTCACACCTCTCCCTTTCCCTCACATGCGCCACGTTTACGTCGCTCCCTCTCTCCCCTTCCTCTCTCTCTCTCTCTTTCTCTCTCTCTCTCCCTCTCTCTCTCCCTTCTCTCTCTCTCTCTCTCTTCTCTCTCTCTCTCTCTCTCTCTCTCTCCTCTCTCTCTCTCTCTCTCGCAATCCCTGTCTCTCTCCTCTCTCTCCTCTCTTCTCATCTCCTCTTCTCTCTCTGTCCCTCTCCCTCTCCCTCTCCCTCTCCCTCTCTCTCTTCTCTCTCTCTCCTCTCCTCATCCTCTCTCCTCTCCCTCCCTCCCTCCCTCCCTCCCCTCCCTCCCCTCTCCTCCCTCCCTCCCTCTCCTCCCTCCCTCCCTCCCCTCTCACCCTCTCTCCTCCCTCCTCCCCTCTCTCTCTCTCTCTCTCTCTCTCTCCCTCTCTCTCTCCTCCTCCTCCCTCCCTCCCTCCCTTCCTCCCTCTTCTCCCTCTCTCTCCTTTCTCTCCCTCTCTCCCTCTCTCTCTCCTCTCTCCTCCCTTTCTCTTCTCTTTTTCTCCCTTCCTCTCATCACCACTTTTTCACCATTCTCCCTCCTTTCTCCCTCTCTCTCCTCTCCATTCTTCTCTCTCCCTCTCCCTCTCTACCCCATACCCCCCCCCCCCTCCACTACTCTCGCCTTTCTCTCTCTTCATGGTATTGAGTTCCTTTTTTTCCACTCTCTTTTATTTCCTTTCACCTCTCTCTCTCCTCCCCGTTCTCACCCTCCGTTCTCTTGTTTCCTCTTCATCTTTTCAGTCTCCCTCTCTTTTTCCCTGCGTGTCTTTATCCGAATTTCGTTTCCCAGTCTTTCTCCTCCTCCTATTCCTTCTTCTCCTTCTTCTTCTGTCCTCCACTCCTCTTCTTCTCCTCTTCCTCCTCCTCCTCCTCGTATTCCTTCTCCTCCTCTTCTTCCTCTTTCTCCTCCTTTTCCTCCACCTCCTACTGCTTCTCCTTTTTCCTCCTCCTCCTCCTGTTTCTTATCCTCCCCTTCCTCCTTCTCCTTCTCTTCTCTTATTTCTTCTCCACCTTCTTCCCTTTCTTCTTCCCTCCTCTCCTCCCCTCCCCCCTCCAATCTCTTCCCTCCTCCTCTCCTCTCCCTTCCCCCTCCCCTCGCTCCTCCTCTCTCACCCCAGTCGACCATTTCCGCACTTCTGTCTTTTTCCCAATTTATCTTTCTGCTTCTTTACTCTCACGTTCTTTGTCCTTTGCTAAAGAACCCCATTCCCCTTCTTTCATCCCTTCCTATTCTTCCTGGTCTTCTTCCTTTTTTACTTCTTCCTTTCTCTCCTTCCTCTTCCTCTCCTACTCCTCTTCCTCCTCCTCCTCCTCCTCCTCCACCCTCCTCCTTCCTCCTCCTCCTCCTCCTCCACCTCGCCTCTTCTACCTTCCTCCTCCTCCTCCAGCTCTTTATCTTCCTCCTCCTCCTCCTCCTTTCATCTTCCTCCTCCTTCTTCCCCCTCCTCCTCCTCATC